CACAGTGACCTGGACGGCCTGAAGAAAGAGATGGCCGAGGTCTGGGAGATGATCAAGAGGCTCCTGCTCGAGGGTTTCCGCTTCGACCCGGACAGCGCCGCGGGCTTCCGGAAGTGAGTGCTCAGAGACCCTCCGACGGTTCTCAACCTGTGGGGGGGTCAGACGACCCTTTCACAGCAGTCCCCCAATTCATAACTATAGCAAAATGACAGTGATGAAGTAGCAACGGAAATCATGTTATGGTTGGGGGGTCGCCACCACATGAGGACCTGTAATCAAGGGCCACAGCATGAGGAAGGTTGGGGACCTCTGCTCTAGCACGTCCCAGAGGCTGGGTCTTCTGAATCTCTTTCTGAGATGGGCCAAACTCCCCTTTCCCTCAGGCCTCGGTGGGGGTCCTGCCTCTCCTGGGGGTCTGGGTTGCAGAGCCCACAAACCCCTCTGTGTGCTCACCGAAGCCCAGCACGGGAGCGGGGCTCATCCAGGGCCACACAGCCAGCCTGTGGAGACGGGGCTCAGAGCCGGGCTTGTTGAGGCCAAGCCCCCCTCCCCTGCACTGGCTGGGCCGTGCCACACAGCCGCCGAGTGGAGGGCTGATTCTGAGAAGCCGTGTCCATCAGCAGCACGGAGTCCAAAACCAGACCGAACTCCCTGCCGCCCAGTGGACTTCAGTCCATGGCTGCACGGGAATAGACTAGAACATCCCCCACCCCCGGGGCTTCTGGGGGGTAACCCTCGGGGGGTACCAAGCAGCCTCGTCTTTTGTGGGGTGGCTGCTGGTCTCACACAGCTGACCTATGCATAGCAGCCCGCTGTGCGACTCACGGTGCCCCGAGGTCCCAGGGTGGGCCCCCTAAAGTCAGCCCTGGTGTAGGATGGGGGCCCCTTCCCACTGCGCCTGGCTGTGTCCTGTACGCATGAGTTCACAGACAGCCCTGACGAGGGAGGGAGACCCTTGCGATCAGGACAGGACCCGACACAAGAGCAGGAGTAACAGTGTCAGCATGAAGTGTGAAGCAGCCTTGTGGGGCCGCATCCCAGGAGAGTCCTACGGCACCCGGACCCAGTCTTCCTGTGACCCAGGGTGTCGCCAGGCTCCCAGGGAGCCCACTGTGAAGAGAGCTGCTCTGCGCTGCCACACGCACCGAGGCTGCGCCGCAAAGTGCCGTGCAGGGTGTTCTCCTCGGGCTGGGGTGCCCGGGTTGTCTGGAGTGTGCAGGGAGGACGGTGGCCTCCCGGCAGGCAGGTGACTCAGAAGCAGGGGCTGGGGCACCCAGCTGGGCTGTCAGTGGGCTCTCACCCTCTTGGGGTGTGGAGAGCGGAACCCTTCCTGAGCGTGTTTCTCTGCCCCAGGCAAAACTCCAGCTCCCGTCGCAGTACAACTTTGCCATGAACGTGCACGGCCGAGTGAAAGGCCGGACAGGCCTGAAGGTGGTGGTCAAGGCCCTGGACCCCACGGCTGGGCAGCTGCATGGCCTTGCCCACGAACTCTCTGATGAGATTCAAATCCAGGTAAAGGCCAGGTGGGCAGAGGAAGGCCACATAGAAGCAGGAGAGTGAGTGCGGGGTCGGGAGGCCCCTCTCCGCCTCAGAGGGCTGTGCAAAAAGCATCCTGGGAGAACGAGGGTGTTGATGAGAAGCAGGGCGTGTCTGTGCCCCAGGCATCCTCAGCCAGCAGGGTCGGGTGGGAGTAGGAGAGGTGGCAGAGCACCGTGGGCAGGGCTGTGGGAGCCCAGGACTGGGACTGGCTGGGGGCCTCTTGGAGGAGGTGAGGTTCATGCTGGTGGGGAGGCATGGAGGAGTTGACCAGCAGGCCAGGAAGAGGGACTAGCCCAGGTGGAAGCCAGGAGACCTGGGATCCTGGGATCTGCTCCACACGTCACAGATCATTCTGAACGTGGTGCCTTCCCGAGAGGAAGAATGTGGGGGAACCTCTGTGCCGGGCCGATGAGCTCACGATGTGTTTATTTAACAAACACTCCTCTAGCGCTCAGCAGGGCAGGTCTGTGCCTTCACACCCACGTCCACCATCCTGGTGCCACTGGCCAAGGCCAGAGGCTCGGGTAAAGTGACCTGCTCAGGCCAGGTAAGCACCGCTCACTGGCAGCCCAGTAGACATTAAAGTCATCATTTCGCAGATGAGAACTCCAAGACGGGTTGGACAGGCTGTTGAGACACCAGCACTCGCTCGAGGTGAATCCTAGCACCCCGGCCCTCTCCCTCCACCAGCACCTCTGCCCCGGCCTGGGCCTTAGTGAGCCTGGCTGTGGACCCAGGGGCCATCTGTGAGACAAGGTGACACAGTGCCTCTGGTGCATTGTAAGCCCCAGTGCCTCATTGCCCTGAGGGGCGCAGTTGGCCTTGCAAAGAAAACTAACCCAAAGTCCCTCCGTGCCCTGGGAGAAGTGGTTTCAAGTTGTCCCCTTGAGAAGAAACCAACCATTTTTAACTTGGCATCTGCTAGGGAGAACCCATGAAAGCAGCTATCCCTAACTCAAGGCGGCCCTATGAGGGTCACTGTGAGTCTTCAGTGGCTGACGTTTTAGGGGTCAGTGGCCTAGCCTTTCTTTCAAGATAACCCCGATGGACTCGAGCAGCCAGCCTTTCAACCAGTGACCCTCAGAGACTCCGGACAGGCTTTAACAGAAACGCCCACTTGCCATTCCAGCCCCTACTGACACACGCACACAGACACATGCACACACACAGATGACACACATAGACACACACAGATGGCACACAGACACATACACACACAGACATAGATGCACACACACAGATACACACACGCAACATAGACACACAGGCTCACATAGAGGTGCACACACAGGTACACACAGATGCACACACACAGACATAGATGCATGCTTACACACAGATAGATACACCTGCACACAGAGAGACAGACAGAAGCACACAGGCATACACAACACACAGGCACACAGAGATGCACACCAAGGCAGATATACATGCACGCGCGCTCACACGGATACAACACACATGCACACACACAGGCTAAAAACCGTGAAGCCCCAGCACCCGTCATGAACTAAAGATGGGACTTGGCAGCTTCGGGATGTCGTCACCTCGGCTGAGTCACTCACAGCTCGGTGTCTCAGTTTCCCTTGACAGCAGATGGGGCGGAGCAAATCAGAAGCCGGAGCCAGCCCACAGATACAGCTCCTTTGTCTCTCTCAAGGCTTTTAACCGAGTTTTACTTCTCGGCAATATTTAAAACCAGCAAGAGTCTGTGTCCAAATGTAATAGGCAGCCTGACCCGAAAGCTTGCCGTTGTGCCGTGTGGTAAAATCAGCCGGAGGTGAACAGTCGCCTTCCCTTCAAACAGGGCTCTGCCTCCAGTTTGCCACAGCCCCCGCCATTCCCTGTCGTCTTCCTGAGAGAGACAGCCATGTCCCTGGATGCCTCAAAAACACCAGCTATCTCTGGTCCAGAAAGAGGGCTGACGGGGAGAGACTGCGTGCTTGGGTGTGTGTGAATGCAATCTCTGCTGTAAGCGTGTCACAGTCGAACTCCATGCTCCCCTCGCGGTTGTGCCTGCCAGGCTAGAGCTGGCATCCGAGCTCCCCCTGGAGAGGCCGAAGCCCCGGCTGGCTACTTGTCTAGGGGCTGTTCCTCATTCATTGTGTCGGGAGCTCACTCTGCTCACTGAGACGGGCCTGGCCAGGCCTCTGAGCTGGAGAACTCAGGGTCCAGATAAAGAAATCTAGAACACAATGAAGCCAGAAAGGAGAGGAGTCTGGCCAATTTCTTCCTGGAGACCATTAGTGTAGCTATTAGATGCTGGCCCAGGGGCTTGAGCCCTGAGGGTCCAGCTGGTCTGGCCAGAAGCCTACACGTCACTCAGTCTGCAGCTGGAACTGCCCAGCATGGAATGCCCCTGAGCCAGGCTTGAGGGCCAAGGCGTTTGGCAGCCCTGAATTTCTTGGAAGGATGGTGACTGCTTTAGAATGTATGCAGAGACGGTTCTTGAGTCCCCCAGGGAATGCGGCTACACGGGCACTTAGAGCGCCCGGGAGACACAGGGTCAGCCATCAGACTCCTCGCCTCCCGGACAGAACTCGTCACTGGTCCATCCCAGTTGTGCCAGTGTAGTGGAGGGAGAGGCCAGACGGGACCAAGGTGAGGAAAACAAGCAGTTCTTACGACATGATCTTACTCGATCCTCGCCCTCAAGAAGAGATGCTGGAGATGTGGCTGCCCTTGGCAAAGTGTGCTGAAGAAACCAGGTGCCCAGCTATCAGAAGAGCGCATGGGGGCTGAGAGGCTTGTCTTTAAAAAAAAGCAGCCATCTAAGAGAGGGTTTAGCTAAGTCCACACAGAAGCAGCACACCAGACTGTGATCCAAGGATTGTAAATAATAAATCCAAATCTGAAGGAGGGAGCCGTGTGAGAGCTCAAATTCCAGACACCCAGTTTGCAGAAGGCTATAGATGACACTAGACCCCAAAGTCCACTTTTAGCCTCCCCGTGTGGATTAAGCCTCCAGTGAATCCCCTCTCACCAGAGGTCAAGGACGTGACTAGCCTTTCTGTCTGACAGAGCATCGTGAAATGGATTGCGGGAGGTGTGGTTAGGTTATAATGCAACACCTTACCATTGGATCTCCCTTGTGACCCATTTTTAATTTGTTCCAGTTTTTAAACTGCTCTGCTTTCTTTCCTATTGAAGTTTTACTCTGTTTTATTTTTTCGTCATGGTTGGGGGTTTTTTGGTCTTTGTTTCCTATATTTTTCTTATAGGAAATCCAGGATAGATCATCTATAGAGAAAGTAACTGGCATGATCATTTCCTAGGGGTGTGGCAGGGAAGGTCGGGGGCGGGGGGCCCAACAACCGTGAGGAAAGGAAAGGAGAAAAGGCTCTCACCTGGATTGTGGAGATGACGGCACAGTTCTTCAAAGGACCGAGCCGTGTGCTATGTGGAATACATGCCCATACAACTGTTTTCCAAAGGGGGAGCAAGGCCCTGTGCAGGAACTGGTTCTGAGCTGCGGATGGGCTCGGAGCAGGCAGCCTGGATGCGAGAAAAAAAACACTAGACAGGGCAGTGACAGCTGAGCAAGGCCCCGGGCCACTCTTTCTGCTGCCTTCCTGCACACTGGGGCAGACAGGCTGCCAAGAGCGAGCCAGCGAGCAGGAGAGGCCTGCGTTTCTGACTCCCCGAAGCAGCTCCCTGTGGAGGTGCAGCTGCACGAGGCAGCCTGCTTTCTCCGCACCCTTCCTTTGACCTTTAACGGTCAGCTCTGACAATCAGGTCACCAGCCACCACCAAGTAGTAGCTCGCCGTGTGGTGCTGCCTTGGCCGGCTGACCGTGAGACTGGCAGTTAAGCCCACCCACCTCTCCATGGAAGAGAGACAAGTCTGGCTACTCCAGTAAAGATCCCATCAAGACTTGCCATCGTGGGAACTCTGGGCTCACGAGGATTCAGTCGACCCCATGGCACCGGGCGTGGGGTGGGTCTCCCCTGGCTGCCACCTGGGCTCTCAGCAGGGAGGGAAGATAGAGTACCCAGATGTCACCGGTGTGCGGGTAGGAAACAAACTTGGGTTCGTCCTGACTCACAGTGGGTAGTGTCAGGGTAGAACTACACTCTAGGGCAGCGGTTCTCAACCTGTGGGTTTCGGCCCCTTTGGGGGTTGCCCAATTCATGAGTAGCAAAATGATAGTGATGAAGTAGCAACAAAAATAATGTTACGGTTGGGGGATCACCATAACACAAGGAACTGTATGAAAGGGTCACGGCATGAGGCGGGTGGAGAACCACTGCTCTGGGGGGTTCTGGTGGCTCGCTGTTTTAGCAGTACGTTGCCAGGCCTTTCCTCCCAGGTCCTTCTGGGCCAACTCAAAACCTTCTAGCTAGCAGCTGACAGACAGCGTTCATGGTTGGCAGCGCCCAGAGGCTGTGAGGGAATAAAGCATGCCTTCTCTTCCAGGTATTTGAAAACCTGCTGCTGCTGAATCCTGAAATAGAAGCCGAGCAAATATTAATGTCGCCCAACTCATTTATAAAGCTTCAGACAAACAGGTTTGTGACTCAGCCCCTGTTCTGCGCGAGGTTGAGGAGCCGGGCTCGCCTCCGACGGCTCATTTGTCAGAGCTGTCAGCGCTGCCACGCGTTAGTGAATTGTGCATCTATCTGGGCCTTGCGTTTGAAGTGGGTCCCGTTTCTACATCCTCCTCTCTGCCACCGGCTCCCTCGCCTCCTCCCTGGAGCCACGGAGCATGCTGATGCTAGTTGCTCGCCATCAGTATTTAACAGGGAAACGCGCCAGTGTGCGCCGTGTGGGATAGTTTAAACGCCAATCAAAGCATTGGTCCCCGGGGCCAGTGGCAACAGCCTCACCGGGAAGATGTTAAAATGCAAATCTGGGGACCGCCCCAGACTGACTGATGGAGAGCCTGCATTTGAACAAAGTTCCCGGGGATGGGCATGAGTGTTCACGTGGAGGGACATTGGGGCCACGGGACTCACACCCACATCGCATTCAGTACACACACTGCGTGCCTTCAGCCAAAATGATTGACGTGCCTGGGTCTGTGGCGGGCTCTGAGCACCGCGATGAAGGGCCTGCGGGATCCGTGAAATGCAGTGGGGAAGAGGGAGTATCGTGTGAGATAGGCTGTAATAAAGCGTGGCAGAAGGCTCAAGACCAAGCCCAAAGGCCTTCACTCTGGACTCAGGGAAGATGTCCCTGGTTCTTGAAGGGTGGATGGGAGTATGCCCAGTGAGGGAAGAGAGTCCAGACAAAGGCCATAGATTTTGCTGGAAGTTGTTGGGAGAGGGACTGCAGGTCTGGGACAGACAGATGAGAAAGAGTACTTGCCTCGGGAGCTGGAGAGCTGTTCTCACCGTTGCTTTATTCTATTAATGAAGCGAGCGTATGAGCTATTCTATGGCTGGTCTCCGCCGCATCACACGCGTACAGTTTACAAACCGCTTCTGTTAAGAGCCCTAGCAAGTAGGACAGGTGTGCTTCCCTCTCTGCAGTGGAGGAAAACAGGCCAAGAGGCAAAGCGTCGGGCCTCCGGACACACAGCTGCGTATAGAGGCTGCCGTGCCAGAGCCAATTTCTGTCCAGCTGAGAGGCCCATCTGATTTCCAGCACGCTAGCTAGGCCGTCTTCCTGCACTTACGTCAAACACAATTTACCTTGGAAACTGTCTTTGACAGCAAATATATCCCACGCAGCTGATGAGAAACCCCGCCCTCTCCGTCCTTCCCTCCCCACCAACCAGCCTGTGGTAGGTGCCACTCTCGGCAGAGTGAGAAAGCGGTGTTCCACCAGGAACCGTTGGTTTTCCAAATTAGATTTTCCTCCCGTGACTGATGGAACTGCAGACCGATGGACCGTGTCCGGCGCTGCTGGACTGTAGGGCTGGGAGAGACTGGTTGCTTCTCCCGGGAGCCAGGGGGTCGGACAGAGCCCACTCCCACCTCTGTGCAAACGGGTCTGGTTTGTTCCCAAAGGGACGGTGCCGCATCTCTGGGCTACCGCGTTCTGGATGGGCCCGAGAAGGCTCCTGTCGTGCACGTGGACGAGAAAGGCCTCCTGGTGTCCGGGTCCGCCATTGGGACTTCCACAGTGGAAGTGATCGCCCAAGAACCTTTTGGGGCCAACCAAACCATCACAGTTGCTGTGAAGGTAGGATCGTGTTCCCCCCCCCCCCTTTGGGGAATCCGGAGCCATTGCGCCAAGCCGGTCCTGTTCCTCTCTCAAGTGTGAACGGGAATACAGTCACCACTCAGCCGAGAAACTGGATGAGGGAGTTGATCTAGACGAATTCCAGGCCGGAGGCCCTGGATGAACTGTCATAGTGCCTTCGGTCAGAGCCGAAGCTCCGTGGGAATGATCCATCCCAACTTCCTTGTTCCTTAGATGGGGAAACGCAGGTCGATGATTTGCTCGGGTGGCACCCGGAGCTCTGTGCCAGCCTGACCGCTACCCTGGTGGGCCTGCTGTCATCTGAACCCCATCGCTACCCGGGGTACCCGCTGGTGTCTCCCAGGAAGATGGCCACTCGGGGTAGAAATGTCTTTGGCGTGGTGGTCACAGCGTGATGCGAAGGGTCCAGATAGGAACCGAAAGGCCCAGTTTTGTCTCTTTCCTGTCAGAACGCAGCACATCAGTGCCACCCCCACCCCCCTCCTCTGCCCCTCTGTTAGGGGACTTCACCCTCTGGGAGTGATCGGGGCACCTCTGGGTTGGCACCTGAGAAACAGAATGTTCTTTTTAGCATCGTCTCGTAACCTCTTAGCCTCTTTCTGAATTTCAGATGACAGAGAAAAGCCCCCTCTTAGTCTGCTTTTTAGACTCTGCTTGGTTCCCAGGCTAACTCCCTTAATGAAAGTCCCCTTAGTCCCATGCCGAGGCCTGGCAGGAAGACACCCCCTTCCCCCCACACACGCCCCCCACCAGTGGGCCGCCCTCCCTTCTCCACAGCTGTGTACTGAGCATCAGTTCTGCAGCAGGTCCTGCGGCCGCTGATCCAGCCCTTGGCCCTCTGCCTAGAGCCAGAGCGCCCTTGGGGTGCAGAGACCACCTCTTCCCTCCCGTCCCTCCTTTGCTCCCAGCTGTGCTCTGGCTGGGGTTGCCCCGGAAGGCTGGGGGCCCGCGGGGTGCTCGGGGTGCACGCCATGGCGTGGTCTGCTGAGCACCCTGAGGAGCGGGGCCCTCTCCGAGGCTGGGCAGGGAAGCCACACAGGGCCGTCATGTCTCGCTCTCCCAGGCCTGGGCTGTGCCCTCGAGCGTGGTGGTTCCTTGCCTTGGCTGTGGGAGGCGCTTCTTTGTGGGGAGGCCAGTCTCCAGCCAAGAGGCAGCAGCGCAGGTACCCCTCTCCCTCCAGGTGGCCCCGGTTTCGTACCTGAGGCTGTCCGTGAGCCCCATCCTGCACACCCACAACCAGGAAGCTCTGCCGGCCCTGCCGCTGGGGGTGACCATGACCTTCACTGTCCACTTCCATGATAACTCCGGGGACATCTTCCACGCTCACAACTCCGTCCTCAACTTTGCAACTAACAGGTAGGGAGAGGGTGAGGCCGATTTCTCCAGCCCCGCCAAGGAAGGGGTCGCGAAGGCATACACCTTCAGAGGGGCCGAGGAAGGGCCCCAGCAGGGTGGAGGCCTGCCCCGTGCCAAGTCTTTCCGTGAGACAGCTGTTTGGCTCCTGGCGGCAGCCTGTTTGCAGAAGTCCAGAGTGACTAGGCCACTTGCCCAGGGCCACACAGGCAAGAAGTGGGGGTTGAATTCCAGGTTCCTCCTGACTGCTGAGTGCAGGCCTCTGTTCTCCTGGGAGGTAAGGGTGAGCCTGCAGAGTGGGACGGGTGTTTCTCCGGCATTCCAGTGGTTCTCACAGCCCCCCACCCACACCCCCCAGCAGCAGCGGCCCCTGGGGGCTGTTAGAAAGTCATGTTCATTCTCTGGGCAACTGACTGTGCACGAAAGGCCGGGAGCCTCGGCTCTGAGAACAGACGGACTGGGATCAGCCACAGGAGGAGGAAGTGGGTCTGAGGGAAAGTGATGGTTTTCGGTATCGGTGGCCCTGTTACAGCGTGGGCTTCTCCCCGTCCCTGGGCAGAAGTGCCCCCTCTATTGCTGAGCACAATGCAAGGCTACGTTCTGGGGGTGTCGCGTGGAACGGAGCAAGCCTGAGAGTTGGACGCGTCCAGCCCTCCGTGGACCCTTGAGCTTGATCAAGGCAGGTCGCCCTTCCAACCCCACCTCCTAGGAAGCGTGGCCCTGCCCCCAGGGCCGTCCATCAGCTGAGACAGTGGAAACTGAGAAGCGAATTGCCCATGTGTCTGCCTGGGGGAGCGGGGCCAGGCTCCCCCAAACCCCTCATCAACACCCTAGCCATCGCTGCGGCCCCCTTGCAGGAGGTGCACCTGTTTTCCTGGAAGGCCACAGCAGGCCTTCCAAGCCTGGGGCATAGTCCAGGAAGTCGGTGACCCAGGAACCCCAGTCCCTCCCCCGTGCCCCCCATCCCCAGTTCCTCATCTAGCTGGTAAGCCTTCCTTCCACCCAGACCACGACCTTGAGTTGACTGAGCACTGATTCAGGGCCTGGCACGGTGTGACTAAGCACTCTGTACCCTAATCTCGTTTCATCAAACCTGGGTCACAGGTTCGCCCCATTAAGAGAGGAAGGAAGCCCCGTTGAGGTCCCGGCCTGGGCACTTGGTGCACAGCCACCCGCCACCCGCACCTCACCCCTGTGTAGTCCGTGGTATGTGGCTGGGACTGTGGTATGTGGCCACGGTATGTGCAAGAGCTGGGCATGTGGCCGTAGTGCTGAACAGGTCTCCAGGGACCGGGAAGAGAAGCCTGGCTTCTGCCCCGAGAGCCGGCCGATGCGAGAGAGCCCAGTCTGACTCACTGGGGGCGGCGCAGGACCAGGCTGTGGTGCCTTGTTCTGTTGTGTGTAGGGCGGGTGGGGGGTGCCTTGTGAGTCACGCTCTGTTGTGCGTGGAACCAGCCCATGTCCACAGCACAGAGAGGAAGGGGCAGAGAAGCCCCGTGTGGTACAGGGCTGTGCTCTCACCGAGGGCGACCCGACCGTCCTGGAACGGGCTTACCCACAGTGGGCAAGGGTGAAGAGCCCCTCATTCATGGCCTTCCTTGCTGGCCCTCGGGTTTGCATTCTAGACTGTGGGCAACAATGGTGGCAGTCCCTCCTCCCCCTGCGCGGGGCCTGTCTGTTCTGAGGGCGAGGAGTCAATGCGGGGCGGGCCCTGATGAGGCCAAGGTGAACCAGAATGACATTGGGTCCCGAGTGGGCTCACAGACGTGCTCCGCCGAGGACTGACCGCCTGTCTTCTCCTGGAGCCGGGCCCTCCCGCCCTGAGACCGAATCTCTATTCTGTGCAGGGATGACTTTGTGCAGATTGGGAAGGGCGCCACCAACAACACCTGCGTCGTCCGCACCATCAGCATGGGCCTGACGCTGCTCAGTGTGTGGGACGCGGAGCACGCGGGCCTCGCCGACTTCGTCCCCCTGCCGGTGCAGCAGGCCATCTCCCCAGAGCTGCCGGGAGCCGCGTGGGTCGGGGACATCCTCTGCCTGACCACCATGCTCGTTGGCCTGGAAGGTACGCGAGCTCGTTCCTATCCTTCGCGTGTTCGTAGGTGGGCGTGGGCTAGGGGCTCGTGGGAAGAGGGCTGCCAGTGCCCCGTCACAGCACACAGAGCCGGATGATGCTCTAGAACAGGAGGCCAGGCCCCACCTACGCCTGGTTTTGCAAATAAAGTTTTATTGGCACACAGGCCATTCATGTACGTTTTGCAAGTCATTGTTTTCACACCCGAGGGCAGCTGCGTAGCAGCAACAGAGCCCATGGGGCCCCCAAGGAAAGGTCCCCTTTGTATAAGGTGTTGGCCAACACCGTCACTAGGCGCAAACAACCAGGCACTGCCAGGTGGATTCCAGCGCTTATGTGTCCAAGAAGGGAGCGTGCCATTGCTCCTCAGGACTCATTTATTGGAAATAGACTTCCACACCTTTCTGTCGAGGCACCTGGGCGTGGGCTTGACCCTCTGGCCTGTCAGTTTGGCAGCCAGGGTCATAGCTGTTTATACCACCCGGGGACTCCACGGTCCAATAGAGCTTTCCACTCTTGTGGACACACCCCCTCACACAGTACCATGAAGAGGTGCCCCATGCTCCTGAACACTTGAAGTGGGGCTGATGTAGCCGAGGAAGTGTGCCTGTGTGTGTGTGTGTGTAGTGGGGGGGCGGGCAGTCAGGGTTTAGCAGTGGCCGCCATGTTCCACCTGCCTCTAAGGAGATGTAACAATCTTGGGCCAGTTTAGCGGTTTCCAAATTTCAGCCATTTTCACGCCCTGCATTTGGTTGACCTACTTCCACAGACCGAATATACAGTTATTTACTTTTAAAAAATGATTTTCTTCCTTATTGGCTCTTTTACTTATCTAATTGAACTTACTTTAAAAGCCAGTGTAATGCTACCTTTAAAGAAAAGCAAATACAATTTTCTGTGTTGCCTTTTTGGGTTTGTTTTAATTGTACTCATTGCCTGGTGTAATTAGCTCTCAACCAAGCACCGTGGTCAGGTGGCTGCTCTGTGCTGCGTGCTGAGAGGGAATTAAGTTGCCATCAAGTGGGGATGTGGGCTAGAAAGGGGAACTGGAGGGTTGGCCACCAGATCCTTGTGTTGGGGGGCGGGGTCCGGTAAGCCTCATGCAGGGAGGGGCCAGCAGTCACTTCTAAGTGGGAGCCACAGCTGTGCAGAGGGGACTGCAGTCCCCCAAAGGACAGAAGGCTGCAGGTCCTACGCCGCAGGTGACGACCTGCCTGGCTGGGGGAGTCGAGGTGGGGCGTGTATGAGGCA